AAGCGAGAAATGACAATTAAGTTAATTTTTATTACATGCCATTGAAAATAAATACAATTTGGATAAAACGAATATAATGAAATTGCTTTAAAACAATTATAATAATGAACGCAAATTAAGTTTATTCCCCTCTGATAGTTAAATAATCATAAAAAATGATAAAAGACCCGTAAGTGCTTTTACTCAATGCACATGCGTAACCTATTTACATTTTCATGTACTTTAATTTTATCATTATTTATTACTGACTGTTAAGTGAAATAAGAATAACCTTCGCATCCATTTTAACAAGTAATCTCATCATTTCGATTTATCCAAATTGTCTTTAACTTCAACACAAGAGTTGAAGTTAACAAGTTATTATTTGAAGTTAAGAAAAACATGTCATTTTTCGCTTATGATGTCACGACTTAATGTAAAGAGTATTCAAAAGTGTTAAAGACAAATATTATAACATATAGATATAAAGATAGAACATAAAATTATTATTTAAATTATTACATTAGTATTGTTTAAATGCAAAGTTAGATAATGCTAAGTTAAAAAGTTAATTAATTTTAACTTCATTTACATTTTTTTCAGTTACATTTTAGATTCTTAACTTTTTAACTTTATATAGTTATATAATATTACCAGGTATATAAGCTTAAATCCGCTGTTTTTAGTCAGAAAAACACATTTTTTTTTCCTAGGGAGCAAAAACAAATTTATTCAAAGTACTTGCCCTCGCTAACTATACATTTTTTCCATCTTTCGGGCAATTTGTGTATACCGCGCCAAAAAAATTCCTCATCTTTGGAGGCAAACCATTTATCAAGCCATTTTCGGACATTTCGTAAGAATCGAAGTGCCGCTCAGCGAGCGCGTGGCCCATCGACGAAAACAGGTGATAGTCAGAAGGTGCCAGGTCTGGTGAGTAAGCGGGATGGAGTAGCATTTCCCAGTTGAGTGTCTCCAAGTAGTTTTGGACCATTGTTGACGTGTGCGATGGTGCATTGTAATGGAGAAAAATCAGCTTGTCATGTCTTTTCCGATAATGCAGCCTTTTTTCACGCAGAGCACAGTGTAATTTGATCAGTTGTTGGTGGTAGCGGTGAGCAGTTAACAATTTCACCACATTTTAACAGCTCGTAGATGACATTCTCCTGATCCCACCAAACGCACAGCATCGTCTTCCGTCCGAAGTGATTTGGTCTTGAGGAAGATATTGATGGTTGGGCGGGATCAACCCAAGATTTCTTGCGTTTAGGATTCTGAAAATAGATCCACTTTTCATTGCCTGTCACAATCCAATGCAGGAACGACTTTCTTTTTTGTCTGGCAAGCAGAATTTGGCATGTGTTTTGGCGTCGCTCCATCTGCCTATCATTCAGTTCATGCGGCATCCATTTTCCGATCTTTTGAACCTTCCCCATGGCATGTAGCCGCATGGAAATGGCTGCTTGAGAAATACCCAATTGCTCGGCAAGCATTTTTTGCAATTGGGTATCGTCTTCGTCCAAAAGAGCCTGCAATTGACAGACCTCAACCTTCCTGGGCCGATTTTTACGCTTCTTGTCATTCAGATCAAAATTGTTGTCATTGAACCGGCGGAACCAATCTCTGCACGTTGTTTCCGATAAAGCATTGTCGCCATAAGCCTCCACAAGCATTCGATGTGATTCGGCAGCTGATTTCTTCAAATTGAAACAGAAAAGCAAAGCTTCCCGCATATGCTTTTTTTTTTAGCAAAAAACTAGACATGATTATGAAAGAAAAAAATGTATGTTGTTGTATGAAATTGCTGATGATGTACACTGGTTAATATTGACAGATGTCAAACACATAAAAAAAAGTGTGTTGTGTGCCCAGGTTAGCTTTGTACGCTCATTAATGCCACCTATGAGCAAACAGCGGATTTAAGCTTATACAGCTGGTATATCGGTAACTATTAATTTTAATTTTTAATTTGAATTTTGAAAAATTAACATCAGAGTTGGGTAGTTAACATCTTTTTAATATAATATCGGATTGAACATCAAAATTATTAAAATTGGCTTTTCAATTTAATTTGTAATATTATTACATAGTTAATTGCATTTGTAAGTCCGGAAA